CAGGAATAATTAATTTTCTTCAGAACTTACTTATTAGTGTCAATGAGTATGGTCGTCTGTTGAGGAATGGCAGATTCCAGCCCTAGAACTTCTTCTGACTCAGATGGGAAGACAAGGGTTGCATTTTTAGTGCTTGTATCTGGCTGAACCTCTGCTGTAGCACAAAGTACATCTGCCTTTGTTGCTAAAGTGTTGGGCTGCAGTTCTTCTGTATAAGCCAAAGTGGGAGTCTTGTTGCTTGCATCTGATACCTGTTCCGATGTGTACGTCAGGAGGTGTGATTTTGTACCACTACTTGTGGTATGTTCTGCTGTATAAGCAAGGAGGGTTTTACTAGTCAAAGTAGGAGATTCATCAGATGCATATGACAGCATATGACTCTTCGTTAGTGCTACAGGCTGTAATTCTCCTGTAAAGTCCATACTGTGAGTCTTGCTAAGAGAAACCGGATGTTGATCAGCTGTATACACAAGTGCATGTGCCTTTTCAGATGAATCTGAATGTGGTTCTGCTGTGTAAGTCATTGTCTGTGGTTTATTTATAGCATCTGTTGTGTACGAAAACGTCTGGATTTTTGACACATTAATAGGCTGTGTTTCAGTTGTGTAAGTAATTGTTTGGGTTTTTGCAGCAGTTACAGGCTGTGTCTCTGTTGCGTAAGTTAGTGTATATGTTTTGCTAGAAGAAACAGACTGAGGCTCTATCGTGTATGACAGAGTATGAGCTTTGGATGTTGAAACTGTTGGTACCTCATTTGTAAATGTAACTGTGTGAACTTTATTTGCTTCTGTTGAGAATGACTGACTTTGTGATTTGGATACAATACTTTCATGTGGTTCCACTGAATATGTAATTGCTGGAGCCTTTGCTACAGTTGATTGCTGTGATTCTGGCACATCTTTATATTTCAACTCTACCATAAGCAAGATATCCTGACAATCTTCTCTAGAATGCTGCCCAACAGCTTCGGCATCAACTTTGCTCAGTACAATTACACTTCCATCATGCTGGACAGTCAATGTATTCCCTGCATTCTGATCAGTTTTCCCAATATCTTCAGGCCACACACGGGTTGGCCGGGAAGCCAATAATGGCACAACACCCAAACCTGTGTCATGTACTATCCCATTCTTCTGAGGATCCACATCATTCTGAAAATAAACAGAAGACAATATACTAAAGTGATGACAAAACAGTAAAAAGAAACATCATGCATTAAAACACACCATTAAACTGAATGTGATACTGTTTTATATATGATGCTTTCAAAAAAATATTAAGTATCTGGACTCAATACTTAGCATGTCATCACAAAAGGAGGAAAAGTTATTTCTTTAATAAGTTCCAGAAACTAAAGCCTACTTTATCCAGAAGGTGCCATCTATATACAATGGTGAACTAAACTCCTATATTAATGCTCATAGAACTACGTACCCACCTTTGTGTAAACAAACACAAGAGTAGATTTCCAGTGCCTAATATTCATCAAACATAACCACAAAAGTTAATGCCACCTCCATTTTTGCAATTTTCAACATGTAAAGGAAAACATTTCATATAAAATCTGTAAACAGATTTATAATTTATCACCACCAAAATCTGATATACACATTTACAACAATTCTAGAAGTGGGATATTATCTTAAAAAAATGATCATGCATTCTCATATTTAAATTGTAACCACAACACAATTTCTGTAAAACAGTGAGGCAAACTTTATTTTTCATTTTATTTTAACAATTTTATAATTGTTCTTACAATATGCACAAGAAATTACTATATTAACCTGTCTAATATATACAATACACACAAGTGAGAAACTACACAATGTAATTCACAGCATGCTATTACACACTGAGGGGCTAAAGGAAGAATCACATGTTGGCATACAGCACATCTATAGCTGCTGCAGCAAAAATCAGGGCTAATGTACTTAGAGTGTGGAAGAATGAATAATACAAAAATAATTTAAAGGTATATTAACCTGCAGAGCTGTAGCTTCAGCTCCAGTTCCTTTAAGAACTGGAAATCTAGCTTGCAATACTGACTCAAACTTGAACTCTGCAGCAAGACATTGTTCAACCAGATCCATGCACACCTCAAGCTTGGACACACATGTGAAACACACCTGCTTTGGCTTGCAGTCTTCTTCTCTTACCTAAGCATATAACAAGTAACTGTTACAGTATGACAGATGACTATCAACATTGAGCCACTTCTAATAAGAAACAAAATTCTAACCCCATATCAAGCTTTTGTTATCATACATCATGCAGTTCACAATGTCCACATTAAATGACAACAAACTAGAAAGGTCCTTTTAAAAGAATTAAGCAGTTACATAACTTTGGATTCAAGAAAAAAATCTGCATTATATCCATTTCCATTCTATAAAGCATGATGGGCCTCAGTTTACTAAAAATCCAGTTCCAAACAAGAGCTAAAATATTTAATAAACATTATAAAATAAATGATAATTTTTCATGTAAATATCATAGTATTGAGAGAATGTTTGAACAAACATATAACACTGCATCATTTTATATATGACTGTAACTCTTATGACAAGTTTGATGAAAAGAGCAATGTTAGAGCACCACATCTCTCCAAGTAAAATAGAAAATTGTGAAAATCTACATAATCAAAATACTCAAGTTATCAACTAATGAGTTCCTCAAACACCATTTCTGGCTTGCGTCTGCTAAATGCAAATAAAAAATTATCCTACTTGGTCTTAGACCCTTCACATATTCGAGCATCTTACATCTGTAACACGACATAGATACCGTACTTATAAAAAAGAAATATTCTCAACTCACAACAATTGGTAAACATTTCTTAATTTTTAAATCAATTCTTTCTTTATCGCCTTCTTTTCCAAACATTGGAATGACAACCTCACTAACACTAGCACACAGACGACAGATATTTGGTGCAAAAGTTATAGTGTTATCACACCACATAGCTATGTACACATACAGAACACAAGGCCCATAACACAGTTATTTAATATCTGAATTATTAACTTCCGAAGACACCATGTTGAATAGTTTGACTAACGGAAATGTATTACTCTCCACAAATAGTTTCTGCACGGTTGGAAAACTGTGATCACAGAAATAACATAAGATCCACTAGCAATCACAGGTAACAGAGCGTCGAACATAAGGTGCTGCGCCCTATAAGCCACATTACAAAATTAAAACGGCGACGTGACAGCAAATAACGCGGTATCAAAGCCAACTATACTTCACTTTCAAATCACTACTCACACAGAACCCAAATTACAAACACATACCTCATTTTGAAGCACATATATCATCACTAATAAATGGTCAAAAGGAACTAAGGAACAAATATGACTATTATCAAAATAATTTTTTCACAACTTTCACAGAAAATTACCCAATGAAAAACAGGAGTTCATTTCATGCAAAACACTTCTATTCAAACCGACGTAGAGATGGCACTAGCAGCAGGACACACTCATTGAAATCCAGAGTTGGTAAACTGATAATTCACAATCGAAAAATTATCAACGTAAGTGCCGACCTTAGACACTGACAAACCCTACCGCAGCTAAACCTGAATAAAAGATTCAGAAGTTGGATTGCAACGACCTCTATATATCAGGAATGAAATGCGGAGAGTCAATCTTGTAGCAAGTAAATCAAATTCTGTCAGTATTGATTTTTTCAAGGAGCTGCGTTCTGTTCGCGAGACAGTTGATGCTATTGAAAGTCGCTTCGAAGTATAGCATTTCGGAAGGCCGTAGTAAAAACACCTGTGCCAAAATAAATACGGTTCATCTGAAATACAAGCAATAATAATTTCCTGCGTTACATTTGAGAATACCGAGTGCATCGCACAGTGAAATTGTGTGTAGGATAAATCTTCAGTGACGTACGCAAAATCAAATCTAGGAAAACTTGGGAACAAACGCATATTAGTGTATAAGTCATTCCACAAGACGTACCAACAGACTCTAATGAAATTACTTTCAACATGCCAAGCATTACGAGAAATGTTGTAAGTCTCTAAAATAATCACGATAAGAGCACACAGACGTAATTGTTCTACAACACACACACGTGTGTAAAGTTAATATATATGTTTCGTTTCTATGTGGAATTCGAAGAATGGCATCATAGTACTTTCTCCATAAAGTGTAAAAATAAAGGTTTATCAAATATATATAATATGTTTGTGTACCGACAACATATACAATTCGACAGTCGAAAGCATATCATCCAAAATCTTTACGTCGAGGATGATAATGTAACTTGCAATGTCAACAAGTAGCCCCGTTACAATCCCTTATAACAAATACCTATGCAAGTGATGGGCAGACATTATTTATTTATATGTGATACCAAAGGTGATGCAGGGCTCAAACACAAACGCAATCTACCGGATCGAGAACTGAAACATAGCTTCAGAAGTTCGAATGCAACCACATCTATATACTCTAGCGCATCAGGTCTTAAATGCCTGTATTTCAATGTCTAAGGTCTGAAGTCAGCATGTGTCAGGACTGATTTTTTCACGGAGCTGAGTATGTGTTCTACTCGTGAGTGAAAGGCTGCTACTGAAACTCGTTTCAAACTACTGAATATTGGAGGACCGTTTTAAAGACACTTGAGGAGCTCAAAGAGCACAGATCTTCAGAAACATTAATATCCTGCGTTACTTCGAAAACTACAGTGTGCATCCAACAGTGAAATTGAGTGTAGTAGGACATGTTTAAGCAAGATTGAGTCTTAAGTTTCCATTAATAACACATACCTCTCATCACACAAAATTTCCTTGATACACGGCAGGTATGAGCGTGTAAAACTAAATAATATGCATATATTTATATTTTCCAAGACGAAGAAAGTGATGGTTGTAATTTCTGAATTAAGTGTAAAATAAAAGTATATAAATAAACTAATGAAGTCTGCATACCAACCAACATGTATGCGTCTAAAGAAACAGGGTCACACACGACGTCAACAGGTAACCAGTGCAAATTACATAAGTCTCTAAAAGCACAATTACATGTGATGTTCGCACTACATTCATTTCGAAATTTGAAGGATTCAGATAAAAGTGTATTTTAAATTTACGCAAAAAATAATCATGATCAAGGTGACCACCTCCAGACAAATTGCATGACGCCAATATTCCATTATGTCATAAATATTATAGTGAAGCGTCACAGAGACACCAAAGTCGCGAGGTGGATCACCGTTAAATCGGCCACGACCACTTGAAGAGTACTTTATTTATGCAAACACACGTTTGACCATAATTACTTGCTAGTGTCCCCATGTGCAGATATACCAAACGAGACGCACAAATTTACATAATTACACCAAAACAATATTTAAGGTGATAAGTCAGAGAGCGAGTTCTGCAAAGCAAGAGCGCGGCTCACTCGCACGTGACGTTTGGCGCATAGAATAAATCATATCTAAATTCGCATGCCCGAAATACACGTAACTGAATGATTTTAGGTCCCTTCAACAATTTAATGCCCTTCCTGAGATTCGAAATTCGTCAGAAATCATTTACGACACTTGGCAAGCCTGGAACACGACGTACGTAAAACGATATTCCAATCCAGGACTACGAGATGGCAAGGAGATACATCTTCAGATATCGAACAATCTTCTACGTAGATACCCAAGGACATGCAGAACACAAACACTGCGCAACCTAACGGATTGAGCACAGAACCATAGTTTCCGAACCTCGATTGCAACGACACCTATATAGCCGCGCGCATCACGTCTTGAATGCCAGCATATCAATGTCGAGGGGCCGCACGTCATCGTCTGCCAGTATTGATTTTCTCACGGAGCAGAGCGGTTTTCAGTTCATGAGTGAAAGTTGCTACTGATATTCGTTTCAACTATACGATTTAACAGGACCGTATTAAAGACACTAGAGGTGCTCAAAGAACACAGATCTTCAGAAACGCTAATAAGCAGCATTACATCGGAAACTATCGTGTGCATCCAAAAGTGACTTTGAGTGTTGTAGGACGTTTCCAGTGACGAAATCAACATGGAGTCGTATGTTTCCAT